GCATATGTTTTGTAACCAAGGAAAGTCACAGGAAAGCCAAAAAAGTTGAGAACAGGTAAAACTGTTGTCATTGTTATGTTGGATAATTGAAATAAATTGAACAAAATGACGTTCTTGCCTGGACTTGACTTACCGCTACATATAATTACATCTTGTGAGGTGTAGGTTGACCTGTCACTGTCTTGTCATGGTGGACAATGACGTCAATCTATCATTTTATATTCGATTGAGCTACTCTGTCAAAGTAGAATAACTAAATACAAATATGAACCTCAAAATTAGCATGCTAGGCCCCCTTTTAATGTTAGGCTATTGATGTGTTTCACTTTTTTATTCTAAAGTTCAATCAATAGAGTAAGTACTCTTTCTAATTACACTTCTGCTTGGTTTGGATACGGTGTAAACGGCGTAGTGCTTCTTTCAACGTTTCAAAACGTCCCCATTTTTCTTTTCTGTGCCGAGGTTTGGTTCAGGAATTACATTTTCCCACTTTTAAATGCCATGCCTTATCCTCCACACCTGAAATATTTACTGTCAAAGGAGGACAAGGAGGGATTTTCCATCTCCTCCTTATCATACCCTCAGGAAACAGACCACCACTCTTTGAGTAAGCAAGAAACATCAAAGAGACTTGGACCATCATCCCACTCTCCCTGAGGCTCGTGCCACTGTGGCCAATGGGCCGAGGAAAGCACAGCGCACTATGGGGTCAGATGTACCCTAGGGAAAAAAGCTCATCAGAAGACAGAGTTCAATGAAGCAGTGAGTGTGTGGTAGTGGATGCTCATAAACAATGGCTGGCAGTAGAAGTGCATTCATTTCAAACTACTGTATGCTTACACCCTGCAGCTTCAGGCCCATGATGAGATCCATAAACAAGGGTGCATGTTGAGTATATCGTAACAGGGAGATGTAATGATGGGTGTAGATTGTTTCATCTCCTACGTTGTGAGTAAATATGTTAGCTGTTATATTTAAATAAAAGCTGTTAACATTCATGTAAATGTGTCAATGTGTGTTGTAGTTTTGTTGTGCATGGCTGACAGCCAATAAAATATAAGGTTAAAGTTCATGTGCATGTATAAATAAAGTCACGCCTCTAATGGGAGTGTTTTTATAACACTTGATCATTTATCTGGGTGCTAACAGCAAGGAACGTTGAACCAGGGGGGAATGATGCAGCTGGTTTCAAATGTTATGTACCCGATGTTAATTAACTCTCTCCAGCCAGAACCGGCAGTAAAGTAACCCAGTCTGCATTAACCTATGACTGAATGTGGGTGATTACAGTTTTTGCTGTCCAGAGCTTTCACGGAGCTATGAAAAGTCCCTTCACTTCATGAAACTCCTGCAGCATGTGAAGGCAGAAAGAACGATAAGCCTGCAGCCTCTGACATGTGCAACGTCAGCGTACAGAGCGCTCAGCCGGCCACTACCTTCATTAGATCTGCTAAAAACAAAAGCTGCTACAGTATAACCACTCCGAACCATGGCATATCATAGCCTCTTCCGACTTCAAAAGTTACGTTTTACTCGCCGTGAATTTCACTTCTCCGGGCTGACCAACAGATTCACACAGAGTTAGTTCAGAGACCTCGTTTATTCTGACATCTCACATTCACACACATTGACAACCATTACGCTAATTTCTCCTGCGAGGGACAACATCTTGGATTGGCAGGCCTGGCCCCTCTTGTTGCAAAGTATAGTGTTCATTGACAACTTTGGACTTGAGGACCTTAAAAACACAGCATTAGTACGGCCCCTTATGTAAACTGCAAATTCAATTTTCCCCAAAAATAGAGTGTGTGATGTTCCAGTGCGCCAAGGCAGAATTACACATGGAAATGTAAGAGCCCCCCAGCACACTGTCACAACTGTCACTTAATCTAAACTGACTCCTGTCAGTGTGCAACTTGAAGGACGATGTTAAGTTAAATTAAAAAAAACATAGAAATTCCTGCTTGCCGTCGTCAGCCGCCAGAGACTTCCTGCCGTTCTGTGATTCCCCAAAACACACAGATGCCTAGTCCGCACCTGGCTAGGTCCCTTTCAGGTTGGGATGGAGGCAGTTTAGTTGCATGTTTCAAGAGAGCAATGGCACAAATGGTCTCGTAACAGCCCGACACATTTGATGGTCCATGTAGAAATCAAGGGGTCCCACTTTAAATATAATTTAGGACAGAAACATTTAACCAGAGTCTTGTCTGATTATTGATTTTATTTATCTTGTCGGACTAATGAAAAAAGCTTTCAGAAAGTGCAAATGGGTAACTGGTGGGACTGCCACCTAATGGGCAGAGACATGTCATAAATTACTCTCTCACACACATTAAAAAGGAATAGCTGTAATTCATGAAGAGACATATAATACCATAGCTGTTGTGAAATGAGTTTATAAGTAAATTATACAAAATTAGGCTTTCAATTCTAATCTATCCAACTAAAACACTCTAAATTGACTTTGAAGTACATTTTCACAATGGAAGCTTGGGTATAACTAAATTACAGAGCTCACCTAGACTCAGTATTGTATAATAATTTAATTCAAGTATGTCACATCAGCAGCTTCATTATTTATATTTCTCTTTCTCTCTATAAAGGAAGAAACCATTAACACGATTAGTTGTGTTATGCAAATTACCTTTTTATGTGTAAAGGCAACATTTTTGTACATTTGTTTCTAAAATATGATAATTTAACACCAAAATGACGACGGAATCATGAGTCACTGAGAGTACCAGTGATGTGGTTTTGTCTGATTTTACACCATTCGATTATTGATAGCACTAACAAATTATTTATAATAATTTATAAACTAAAAGCAATGGAGGCTAAAAGCGGGATAATAAGATGGTCTTTGATTTTTCTACTTCCATTTTCTATTTAAAACAAAACCTCCTTACATCAACAGTCTGTGCTCCCATTCCTAGGTCAAACATTATCAAATCCCTTTTATTCAAACCTCGTCAAATGACCTTTTTAATCCTGATGGTACATTACCGTCATGACATCCTAACAAGGCACTCACGAGGCTACAAGTTCAAACCCCTTACCTCTGCATTCCCAACATCGGATCTTTACTTGAGAGTGAATTATGTAGCATTTCCACATAAAAGCATTCTGCTGTTTGTCCAAAGGGCAACCAATCTATATAAGAGATGCACAGAGAAAGAAATGTTTCCTGAATTTCTGTTGCACGTTTATTTTTAGCTCCATGTGCATCCCATGTGTTTATTACTGTACCAATATGTATCTACAATCTTTAAATATGTATTTATTTTATTTATTCTGTAACCTGGTGACGAAAGGGGAAATAAAGTCATTAGTGGACGGATGGAGAGATTAAGGGAGACTGTTCATTTAGAACACACCTCATTCATAGAGAGCAGTACCCTTGCTCTAGGGATCTAACATGTATACACATTCATACATGCTTTCATTTTCATGTCATTCTGTAAAATAAAGCATCTCTTATGGTGCGTTCACACCGGACGCGATGTGAATATTCGCTTCGCTCTAATCGCTGGAGTTTCACCTTTAACCTTTGTGTGCTGTTTGGGTCTTTGGGACCCGTTTTCAGTGTTAACTAAAATAAAATGTCTGCAATTTAATTATTTTAACCTGCTTTATTTGGAGGTGGACCTCACATCCTCTCGGGGGGTCCGGGGGCATGCACCTCCAGGAAGATTTGTTTTTAAATGTTGAAGTGAAATGCATCAATCTGGTGCACTTTGAGCACAGAATGAATTTATGGATACAGCTCTCAACACTCAGATGAAAGGGAGCTGTATNCTGCTTTGAATTTTTCCTTCTTTTGAGAACCCGCTCATATAGGAACGGCGCGGAGCAGAGATTCTGCCCCACTCGCGCATGCACGTGCACGGTTGTGGCATGCCCACCAAAACAGAAAGATATGGACACAAGATGTGTGCAAATGTATTTAGTTTCCAATCCATGTGAACATTATTTAAGTCGTGGGGGACCTAACCTCCTCTAGGGGGGTCCGGGTGCATGCTCCTCCAGGAAGATTTGTTTTTAAATGTTGAAGTTAAATGCATCAATCTGGTGCACTTTGAGCACAGAATGAATTTATGGATACAGCTCTCAACACTCAGATGAAAGGGAGCTGTATACTTATCTTTAGAATATGATCACAACCAATAACAAATCATTTCAACTTGTTTATTCTTATCCTATGTTACCTAGTTAGCATTCTTTCTTTTTATTTATGCATATTTTACAAATTACTCCCATTTCAAACAGTTTTTTGTTTCTTACTGTCCTATAGTACACATTGGAATGATTTCTTACTTTATTTTTTACAACTATATTAAATAGTTAAAGGTGTGCTCTCTCTCTCTCTCTCTCTCTCTCTCTCTCTCTCTCTCTCTCTCTCTCTCTCTCTCGGTCTCGGTCTCGCTCGCTCACAGAGGCTGTGT